TCGGAGATGTTGGAGCACAATCTTTGGGTGATGCATTAAAACACAACAAAGTAGCTCTCAGTCTCTCTTTATCTCTACAATATTGCACCTTCACTTGTTCGTCTAGACACTTACCATACTAGATCTCTCCCGCGATGGAATCGGGAATGTTGGAGCACAATCTTTATGTGATGCATTACAGCATAGCACAGTAACTCTAATTCTCTCTTTATCTATACCATGTCGTTACCGCCACTTATTCATCTAGACCCTCACTACATTACAGCTCAGCGAAAACCATATCGGAGATGTTGGTGCACAGTTTTTGGGTGATGCATTAAAACGCAACAAAGTAGCGCTCATTCTCTCTTTGTCTATAGCATGTCTTTACCTCGATTTCTTCATATAGACACTCACCACATTAAATCTTTGGGGGAATAAAATTGGCGATGTTGGAGCACAGTCTTTGGGTGATGCATTAAAACACAACAAAGTAGCGCTCATTCTCTCTTTGTCCATACCATGTCTTTACGTCTACTTTTTCACCTAGACACTCACCAAATTAGATCTCAGCTGCAATACAATCGGAGATGTTGGAGCACAATCTTTTGGTGAAGCACTACAACATAACACAGTAGCTATCATTCTCTCTTTATCGATACCATGTCTTTACCTCCCCTTCTGCACCTAGACAATCACCACACTAGATCTCGTCTGCAATGAAATCGGAGATGTTGGTGCACAATCTTTGGGTGATGCATTACAACACAACACAGTAACTCTAATTCTTTCTTTATCTATAGCATGTATGTACCTTCATGCTACCATGTAGACACTCACCGGACTTCACCTGTATAGCTTGTGGTGTAGTGCCGTTGAGCGTGAAGCAGGGCATATAATCGAAGAATTACTTGAACGGAATAAAAACGGAAGAAAACCGTGAATGGCACTATTAAATCGTTTTGAATAGTGAATAAATCGCTGATGCTGATCATGCGATTATTTTTTTGTCGTAAGATTTTTTGATAGAAACAATAAATAAAATGCATTTTTTAAACGTAATATGTGTTTTTTTTATTAATATTTGCTTAGCGGTGTATTATTTGGTAAGAAGAATGCTGGTCCTCTTGAAAAATAAAGCGTTTGTAAAACTATGTGAGGATGTGTGACCGTGCAAAAGTAAGCTGCAGTTTTTTATAGCAAAAGGAAAAGTCTGAAAGATCGGTCCGAGTGACAACAAACGGTAAAAGATTCTCCGTGATAATAGTAAAATCATGAGAAGCTCTTTCTGGTAATGCTCAAAGAAAAGCCCCTGCCCAATGATATTAAAACAGACAAAGTTTTCTTTAACGTTGGGAAACCCGAAATGGTGTTAGTTTCGATTAGTGTCCAACTTTTATTCACATTAAAAAGAATGCGTGCTATTGATAATTTGAATTATCTTCGACCATTATTAACATCTTCATATTCAACATCAAACAATACAACGGTTTCATTCATTTAAAATATTTTCTAGTAAAAAAAGTTTTATTTTATCAAGACAAAACTTCAATTGAAATTATGATCTATTAGATAAAATGTATACGCCTTCTATTGATGTGGGAGATACAAATCATAGTGAATTTCGAATAAATCGAAAACATGCAATAGGTACAACGTTATTAGGTCCTGGATGTATTTAACAGATAAATCTGCTCGATTTGGTGAAGGTACTTGAACACTGAATTCATTACATAATCTCTATTATGTTCGATATTCAATTCAAATGAAAAAAAAGATCAAAATATTAAATAAAATTTGGTAGATAAAGTCGAAATAATATTTACCTAGTTGTAGAAAAACGATGTGATCATTGTGAATAATTATGTTTTCGAAATGCAATTAATGAAACAGAAACTACATGTGGTTCTACATAATATTATAACTTCGCTGATGATGGTCGTTCATATAAACCTAATTGTGCTGAGTAAGTGACTGAATAAAAATAGATTTTTCGCTTTCATTTATTTTATTTTTCAGACATTTTTTTAGTTGTCCTATATTAACAAAATGTACTCCATTTTATCAACATTGTGATGGATTTAATGATTGCATATATAATGAAGATGAAAATAATTGTCAAGGAGTAATACAAAAATTGATTAAGATTTGTTTCTGTATATTGAATTAAAATTAAAATTTAATACATGAAAATTATTTCGTTGTTAAATAAGTGAGAAATGTATAGTAACTAATGATCTATGTAATGATTTAATCGATTGTTTACATGGGGAAGATGAACATGATATTATTTGTGGACATTTTTGTGAATAGCCAAGTTTAAATACTTTTGTTTTGTTTTTAGATAAACAAGCTATTATTAAGCTTACAAAACTATCATCTTCTTCTACAGCTTACGATAAGACTGTGGCAATTTCATCAACAACTTACAATGACAAATCAAATAGCCACCAATTTCCTTACATTACCAGTAGAGCTTGTTTATCGAATTCTGGATCATCAATCGGATTTCACCCTCATATGCTCAATGAGAAATGTATGTCAGCGATTCAACAGCATCGTAGATAGCTACCGTCGATATCAGGTAAACGTCTTTCTATCATGATAATTCAATTTTTATGTACTCACTCCAATACAACATACATAAATACAGTATTTCTCACTCAGAATAATTCACTATCTATCCCTTTCTTTATAAACATTCCTTTTTCTATTATGACAGTATGAAAATAGAGACCTGATAATGAAAGAAAATAAATTCTTTTTTTCTTTCTTTTCAATCTCGATTAGATACATCACGTTTCAAACTAGGCCTGATGTCATCAACACACGATGATGAGTTCTTTTCAGTCTAAATTTTCACTATACACCGTCAAACCGTATACATAACCTACAATCATTAAACAATTCATATTGCTATTTTAGGTCTCAGAGTGTCGTGAGAAAAACATTCGTTTGGTTGATAGAATCCCAAATCTTTCGAGCGACTTTTGCTCTCTTTATCTGCACCGCATCTTCACCACTACTTTTTCATTTAGATACTAACCACATTAAACGTCCGTTACAATCAAATCTCACACGTTGGAGCACAATCTTTGGGTAATACATTACAACACAACACAGTAACTCTCATATTTTCTTCATCGATACCATGTTTTTAATTCTACTTTTTCACCTAGACACTCACTACATTACATCTCGGCAACAATAGACTCAGAGATGTTGGAGCACAGCCTTTGGCTGATGCATTAAAACACAACACAGTAATTCACATTCACTCTTTCTCTATATCATGTTTTACCTTCACTTCGTCATTTAGACACTCACCACATTAAAAATCGTCGAAAACCAAATTGGAGATCTTGGAGTAGCATATTTGGCTGATGCATTACAACATAATACGGTAGCGCTCATTCTCTGTTTATCTATATCATGTCTTTAGCATCACTCATTCATCTAGACACTCACCACACTGGAACTTTGGGAGAATAGCATCGGCAAGCTTGGAGCACAATTTTTAGGTGAAGCATTACAACACAACACGGTAACTCTCAATCTCTTTTTATTTATATCATGTTTTTACCTCTGCTTTTACATCTAGACACTCACCACATTACATCTCTCGAACAATAAAATCGATCAGACTGGAGCAGCATTATTGGGTGATGCATTAAAACACAACATGGTAGCTCTCATTATCTCTTTATCTATATCATGTCTTTAGCTTCACTCATTCAACTAGACACTCACCACCTTAAATCTCCGCAGTAATAAAATCGGACAGGTTGGAGCACAGTTTTTGAGTAATGCATTGCAACAAAACACGGTAACCCATATTCTCTCCATACCTATACCATCTCTTTACGTGAACTTCTTCATCTAGGCACTTACGAAATTAGATCTCGCCTGGAATGCAATCAAAGATGTTGGAGCACAATCGTTGGGTGATGCATTAAAACACAACACAGTAACTCTCATTCTCCATTTATTTATATAATGTCTTTATCTCCACTTCTTCATCTAGACACTCACTACATTAGATCTCGGCAGCAATAAAGTCGGGAAGGCTGGAGCACAATCTTTAGGTGATGGATTACAACACAATACAGTAACTCTCATTCTGTCTCTCTATATCATGTCTTTAAGTGAACTTCTTCATATAGACACTGACCTCATTAAGACTCGTCGACAATAAAATCGGGCAAGTTGGTGCACAATTTTTGGGTGATGCATTACAACACAACAAAGTAGCTCTCGTTCCTTCTTCATTTATACCATGTTTAGCTTCACTTCTTTATCTAGACACTGAACACATTAAATCTTAGCGACAATCAAATCGGAGATATTGGTGCACAATTTTTAGCTGATGCATTAAAACACAACACAGTAAACCACATTCTTTCTTCATCTATAGCATGTCTTTATCTTTACTTCTTCATCTAGGCACTGGCTAAACTAGATCTCGGCGGCAATAAAATCGGAGATATGGGTGCTCAATCTTTGGGTAATGCTTTAGAAGACAACATAGTAACTATAATCCTCTCTTTATCTGTATCATGGTTTACCTTTACTTGTTTATCTAGACACTCACCGAATTAGATCTGATGGAAAATGAAATCGGAGACGTTGGAGCACACTTTTTGATTGATGCATTACAACATAATACAGTAACTGTCGTCCTCTCTTTATCTATAGCATATATTTACCTTCATGTTTTGTATGTAGACACTCACTAAACTGTACCTCATGAGTAATGTCGTTGGGTATCATGCTAATCGTGTAATCCACGAATTAGTTAAACGGAATGGAAACAGAAAAAAATCGTGAATGATACTATTAAATGTTTTTGGATGGTGAATAGATCGCTGATGGTGATTATGCGGACACGTTTTTAGTTTATGATTTTTTGAGAGTATTAGTAAATAAAACTGCTCTTTTTTAAACGTAATATATATTGTTTTATTAATGTTTGCTTAGCAGTTTTTTTATTTGGCGAGAAGAATGCTGATACTCTTAAAATATATAGCTTTTGCAGACTATGTGAGGATGTGTGCAGTTGATGCAAAATGAAGCTGAAGTTTTCTATAACAATATTAAAATTCTAAAAGATGCTTTTCAGTGGGCTAAGCCAAAAACAGCTTTTAATGATAGTTGCGGAACTCTGGAAGATCGGTCGAGGCGGTGACGAACGATAAAAGGGTGTGGGTGTGATTGTCGTTATAATGATCTCTTAGTGAACCATCCCTACACTCACACCATCAATTTTATTTTCTTCGTATTAATAATGACCATCTTGTAGATCGATAGTTGATATTAGACAGCAAATGTCTCGGGAGCACGTCTCCTGGGTTCATTAAATATTCAGTTACATCATGACTCATGGAGCTAGAAACTATGTAAGATTTATATATATTAATACTTTATTGACCAACAATTAATTATAATCTAGCCAAATCTCAGAGATAATTTTTTAACAATTTCTTTCAGAAGCGATCACCTTTTAGCGTTTTTCTGATAACAAAATAACATACTGCTTCAATAATGAGAGTTAAAAGAACTTGGAAAAATGTGTTACGAAAACTTTGCTATCCGTAACGTGATACATCATTATCTTTCATTATCTTCTATATATCAAAAGTCATTTGAAAAATATCATATAAGATGCAAGCGTATGGTACCAGCTATTCCAATAAATAACTCAGACAAAAATTTGTTACTATTTTACTAGCTCAAGAATAACCAAATACTGTAGAACAATAGAGCATTATTTCTACTGTTACTATACATAAAAGCAAAGACTCTTCAAGCTTACTACACAATAACAAAGATTTTACTGCAACGACTTTGGTACTCGAGCTGTTTGTTTCTGATTCGACTCAAATATTAATAGTTTTCAATTTGAACATTTGCATTCAAAAGCATACTATCTTTTCTCAAACGAAGAACAATGTACAATGTAATCTTTCACATTTTTTGTTTTTTATATATTTTTTAACAGAGAAGAGAGGCATTCAACTAAAACTTTTGTTTGTTAACTGAGTGTCAGTTAGGCTGATTTCATTCGAGTTATAAAATTAGTCTTATTCAGTACAACTAGAACCAAGTCGAATAGAGTTCTGTCAGAGATAATCAATATTCATAATACAAGTCAAATAACTGAAAGCTGTTCAACTAGGTTACTTTCATTCCAAATCTGTGCTAACACAAACCACTACATATTTCGAAAGCAATCACTTGAAAAAATAATTCATCTTCAACAATTTTTTCCGAATGATTTGCTTATTTTTATTTATTTCTGATTAATCAAATCTATGTTTATGATGATAATCATGATAAAAACTTTTAACGAAATTATTTAGTATAGAATAAAAACCGAAACGAATATAAATTAGTTGGGACGAAATTTTCATACGATAACAAAGATTTATTTTGATATTACTAATGGAATAAAAGTTGTGGTATTTTCATTTACAATATTACGGTTTTTTAATAAAAATAAAGACACTTTTTTTAAAATTTCAATATTATAAAATTAATATTTCTGTATACAATCATATCTGGAAAAAACTCAATATATGAAGCAAAATATTATCAATATTTCAATACGAATTTGTTCAACAGCAGATCAAATTATAGTAAAGCTTATCAACCATGAAAACAATGATCTTATTTTTTCTTTTAGATTCACTCGTCTGACTTAGTTTCTCGAGGACAAGTTATATTCGATTTTAAAAAATATCTTCATCCGATATTACAATTACATCACAATCTGCATTTTAAATATTAATTAACAAAAAAAAGAGTCCCCTAAATGTGTTCAGTTAAAATTAAAAACATAAGAGATATGCCTATGATATATCATTTTATATCGCTCAAATAATCCTAACAAAAACATTAACTATAGTTTCTATCATTAAAAGTGACATCATTACTTTTTATGTTTTTTCTTCCAACAAGTAATTGCAACTCCATGTGAAATATATGATGCATGACGAATATGTATTCATTTTGTGTGAAAGAAAAAACGACACATTATACACTCAACATATAGAGCGCACAGCACGTATTTCATCAAGAATTTGTAATGGCAAACCAATCTGTCGTCAACTTAATCACATTACCGGTAGAGCTTGTCTACCGAATTATGGATTTCCACTCCGATCTCACCCTGATATGCTCAATGACAAATGTGTGCCAACGATTTAACAGCGTCTTAGATAGCTACGATCGATATAAGGTTAGCTTTTTTCTATCATGACAGTTTGATTTTTATCTATTGACTCTAATATTATCTACATGAATAAACTATTTCTCACTCAAAGCAATTCACTACCTATCCCTTTCTTCACAAACATTTCTTTTTTCTATGATGACAGTATGAAAATAGTGACCTGATAATCAGAAAAAAAGTCCCTTTTTTCTATTTCAGCTTGATATTTCACGTTTCAAACTAAGTACGATGTTATGAATAAATGATATTTAGACAACAACGAAAACACAAATAAAACATTCTTGTTTGTTTTTTATGTGTATCAAAGCACATTTTCTTATACATGCAGTTTCGCAGATTGAAAATAGCTCTAAAAAGAAATTAGCGGTCGATGCGGATGGAGACAAGATTGACTCATAACACCATTCTCATTCAAACACATCCCTAACACATATACCATAAATGTGAAAAGTTCTCCATCAACATTTTTGACACCATGTTTTTACATGCACTCATCTTCTATTCATAATGAGTCTGACATTAAATAATAAATTGTTCAACATTCCACTTTTTATAAAGCAATGTGGCTTCATGCACACAATCGTATAGTGCTGCTCAAAGCAGCTACCAAAATCGAGGGATATTCTAACCCATACAGTTTCCTTTTTTCACTCATATTTAAAAACTGCGGCAACCTACAGATAAAACATTTCTATGAATACTTCACTGCTGAAAACGTCTTTTCCGTCTACATTTTTATAAAAAACTATTGAAGAGCATATACGATTCAAAATCATTCAATTACTCATATTCCGATTCTAAGATCCAACAATGTGATCAGAAAACCATACATTGCAGTGATAAAACTCCAACTTATACCGATCGACTATATTTCTTTACCTACTTCCACCTTTACTTTCCCTTCACTTTTTCATCTAGAGACTCATCATACTAGATCTCACCGGTCATAAAATCGGAGATGCTGGAGCACAAGCTTTGCGTGAAGCACTACAACACAATACGGTAACTCTCGTTCTCTCTTTATTTATACCATGTATTCACCTTCATTTGTTCATTTAGACACTCACCGAATTAAATCTCGGCTACAATAAAATCGGAGCTGCTGGAGCACAAGCTTTGGCTGAAGCACTAGAGCACAATACAGTAACTCTCGTTCTCTCTTCATGTATACCATGTCTTTATCTCCCCTTCTTCATTTAGACAATCACCACCCTAGATCTCGCCGGTAATAAAATCGGAGATGCTGGAGCACAATCTCTGGGTGATGCATTACAACACAACAAAGTAGCACTCATTCCATCTTTATATAAACCATGTCTTTAACTCCCCTTCTTCATTTAGACACTTGTCACATTATATCTTCACAACAATAAAATCGGAGATGTTGGAGCACAATCTTTGGGTGATGCATTACAACACAACAAAGTAACTTTCATTCTCTCTATATCCATGCCATGTCTTTACCTCTCCTTCTTTATATAGACTCTAACCGTATTATATCTCGACAGCAATCAAATTGGGCCTATTGGAGCACAATCTTTAGGCAATGCATTACAACGTAACACGGTAATTCTCATTCTCTCCTTGTCTATACTATGTCTTTACCGCCACTTATTCATCTAGACAATCGCTACATTAGAGCTGAGCGAAAATCAAATCGGAGATGTTGGAGCACAATCTTGGGGCGATGCATTAAAACACAACACAGTAACTTTTATTCTCTCTTTGTCTATACCATTTCTTTACCTCGACTTATTCATCTA